ACGGTTTTTAAGTGCGCATAATTATACTTTTATATCAATTTCCAATTTAATTTTCCTTTTTAAACAAATTTACTTCTACATATTTCTTTACTTATTTAAATGTACATGTATATTTCAATCATGCAATGCATTTTAGGTCCAAATAAAATAAAAAAAATGTTTTTTTTTAATATAGCGAATGTTTAAATTCTTTTACCCCTTATTATTTCTAATTTAACTGCTTCTTTTTTTTTGCTGAACTTTTAGAATTGGAAAGTTTTATAGAGATAAATAAAAATCAAAATTTCTTTAAACAGTACTAACGTTTTTATTTTTAATAAAGTATGTATAACATGCGATGGAACAGGATATTAAAAAATAAAGATAAAATTAGCCTTAATTGAATAAAAAAATCAACTAAGGCTGTTTATTATTTAATTTCTAACTGCTCTGTACAATACAGCAGACATTATTTTTCCATGTTATAAATTAAATGACGCTCGCTATAATAACATACTTGTCGAAACAGAAGTGTCCGTGTAAGCCTAAACGTTAACCACTCATACCGACTCGTACGTCTTTTAAAAATTTAATTACAATAGTAATATTTAATAATAGCAAATAGCAATATAGAAAAAACAGCGACATCTAATTAATATTTGTGTATAGTTTAGTAGGTTTTGAAAAAAACAAAAAAGAAAATAAAAACAAAATAATAACATGGAAAAAATGAATTTCCTACAGGTTCCTTTTTCTCATACATTTTTTGTTTTGCTTGTTGTTTGTTTTAAAGACGACGTAAATTAATTAAGGAAATTTTATGGTGGTTATGATGCGACCGTGTTGCATGGCAGTACTTAGAAGGCGAACAGCAAAAGGAACGCCATCATCAAACAGAACAGACCCATGGCTTCAGACAAGGCGAACCCTAAGATAGCATATGAGAACAACTGCTGTTTAAGAGATGGATTCCTGGCGTAACCGATGATTAAAGAACCGAACACCGTACCAATACCAGCACCTAAACATAGGATACATTTTTAAGACAATGTTCAAAAGAATACTAAAAAGGATGACAAAAACCGAAAAAAAGAAAACAATCTGATTATGAAACATACCTGAACCAGCTACTCCTACTGTGGCAGCTCCGGCACCAATGAATTTGGCTGCTGAGTCAATGTCCCTTGAGACTGCTGAAGTCTGAAAACTGCGAATAGCAGGCAGTAATGCTGGCTTCTGACTCTGTTGCTGGACTGCAGGACTCTGGACTAGCAATTGACTGCTTTGACTAATTGAACTAAGAGGCCTAAGGTATGCCTTTGAGTTTGAAATAAGCTGCAAAAAAATTAAAAAAGAAACATTAATATACCCAAAAGCAACTCATACCTACTTAAATTTTGGGGCTGAAATTAAGGAAAATCTGCAACCCAAGGCAATATTAATTCATCAATAAGAATGTTATGTAATGCGGTGCTTTAAAACTGAGAAACAATTAAATATATGCTCATAATATTTAACTGAATGATAACATTGTGAAGCCTTTAGAAATACTTACTTCTCTTGCATTAATGACCTTACATTGACCTACATTTATTAAAAACAAAATATCCATCAACTGGTCCCTAAAGAGGTTATAAAAACTAAGATTTTAAAAGTGAAAAATATCTCAAATATTTGCAATAGACTACCAATTAATGTTAAAGAAGAAGAAACTGATAATTGTAAATCCAGTTATATTAACTGAAAGCAATAATGGGTTATGTAACTATCACTACATGCATTCCAACAAATGAAAAGCAGAAAAATAAATGAAAATCAGCAATTAATAAAAAAAATGTTATGTAATCTAATTCAATTTAGTATTCAATTGTTTTCTAACAGGAATATTTTGATACCCATACAGTTAGTAGTGATTAAGTAAGTGGATTATTTAACAAATAGTAAAAAAAAATTATTAAAAAACTTACGGCAGTTCGTGCAGCAGGTGCGATAAGTCTTGCACAGGCGAACATATTTGCTATATTTTTGTGGGGGCTGTTCCGTGAATCTAAAAGAAAATTAGAAGCAATTTCAATGACATGTAACGATCAAGTGGACTTCGTCAAACGGGTTACGTAACACAAAACCAAAGAGTCTTTTTCAGTCTTTGCCAATCAAGCTTCTTGTAAGATAATCCTAAATTCATTTTCAAACAATCCTAAATAATTAATCCTACAACAAATCAACTCCTAATTTGACGTCTGAGGCTATATCTTTCATTACATAAAATGGCTGAAGTTTTAACAACCGTAAAATCCAAATGGACCAAACAAATAATTACAGATTCATTTCACATACACTTTTATTGAAACGATTTTTTCAATTTTCATAGACGATGAACTATTTTTCACAAGATATTTTAAAATCTTTCACCAACTCACCAAATAAATAGGATAGCAAGACGGCAACCGGCAACTACGGAATGTACTGCTTCGATTTGATCATGCGCTCGATTGTTAAAGTCGTCCAAGTTCTCTGCGGTGGCGTCCATTATTGTATGCAGTTCGTTTCACGCATCTTCAATTTGTACTCTGATATGGCTACTTGTTATAAGATGGCAGCAGGGTGGACAGAATTCAAAATAAATTTAACATTTAAAATTTATATTGCAATTAAACAGGCCCGACAAAAATTCAAATATTCTATTCCATTTCGCATCCATAAAAAGGCCAGCAATTCGACCTTATAAACAAATGAACATAAAAAAGCGCTCGTAAAATTAATGGGAAATGAAAGGTATTTACTAAGCTTTAAGAAGTGATAATTATGTAGAAAAGTACATACAATCTTATGGTACCAACAGTTTTAATTTGCCGTCTCCAATACGCACCTTTGGCGTTATTTATGCTGAAATACGTAAAATAATTCAGACATAAAAAGGCGCTCGTGAAATAACTGAGTGGTGGAGGTATTTAATAAGGTTTGAGAAGCGATAATTGTGTAAAAAGGTACGTTGAATCTCATGGTACCAACGGTTTTTAAGTGTGGTGTCAAATAGGTACTTTCCTGCGTCATTTATGCTGGAATATGTAAAATAATTCAGACATAAAAAGGCGCTCGTAAAATAACTGTGAGGAGGGAGGTATTTAGTAAGGTTTGTTAAGCGATAATTATGTAAAAAGGTACGAAGAATCTCATGGTACCAACGGTTNTCTCGTTCAGAGACTGGATACGAAATGAGGATCTCTCTATGAGCGACTCGAGTCTCTCGTTCAGAGATTCGAGTCTCTCGTTCAGAGACTGGATACGAAATGAGGATCTCTCAATGAGCGACTCGAGTCTCTCGTTCAGAGACGCTAAACAGTTTTTTTGACAGTCTCTCGACAGTCTCTCTTAGCAACCCCAGTGAGACTCGATGAGAGAAGGAGACTCGAGTCTCGCTTTCAGAGACTCTGAGAGACCGAATATTTTTATCTCAGGTATCCTTTTGATTGATTTTAATCAAAGGGCGAGGATCATAGTTAAAATAATATCTCAATCTGATCTGCAGATAATATAAAAAGAAAATTACAACAGGACCCCGCTAAATCCTTACAGAAGTCCTTTCTTAAACTATTTGAAACTGCTGATTCTGGTAGGTAGTGTCAAAGTTTAGACGCAAAAAAACAATAATTTCTTTCATATTTAATTCCCCATGGAAACTTTAAAATTCAATTCGACGTTATCCTTTTTAACATGATTCAACTGTTTGTTGAATTCAAATGAGAAAAATTATTGAGTCTAAAGTTTCCGAAGCCAATGGAAAAGGGATGCTCCATTTCTGCGTTTTGACCTTTATGCCACGCCCTTTAAAATTATTTCCAACAAATGAAAAGCAGAAAAATAAATGAAAATCAGCAATTAATAAAAAAAATGTTATGTAATCTAATTCAATTTAGTATTCAATTGTTTTCTAACAGGAATATTTTGATACCCATACAGTTAGTAGTGATTAAGTAAGTGGATTATTTAACAAATAGTAAAAAAAAATTATTAAAGAACTTACGGCAGTTCGTGCAGCAGGTGCGATAAGTCTTGCACAGGCGAACATATTTGCTATATTTTTGTGGGGGCTGTTCCGTGAATCTAAAAGAAAATTAGAAGCAATTTCAATGACATGTAACGATCAAGTGGACTTCGTCAAACGGGTTACGTAACACAAAACCAAAGAGTCTTTTTCAGTCTTTGCCAATCAAGCTTCTTGTAAGATAATCCTAAATTCATTTTCAAACAATCCTAAATAATTAATCCTACAACAAATCAACTCCTAATTTGACGTCTGAGGCTATATCTTTCATTACATAAAATGGCTGAAGTTTTAACAACCGTAAAATCCAAATGGACCAAACAAATAATTACAGATTCATTTCACATACACTTTTATTGAAACGATTTTTTCAATTTTCATAGACGATGAACTATTTTTCACAAGATATTTTAAAATCTTTCACCAACTCACCAAATAAATATATTGAACGTTTTTTAGTAAAAATAGTTAATAAGCCTGCCGTAACTTTAGCAAAAAATTAAAGAAATAATAAAATGCATGTCATTATTTTAACACGTTTTATAGTTTATTAAATAGTTTATGGTTAGTTATAAGTTTCTGGAGCGCAATATTTCATTTTAATCTATTTTTCATTACCTATTTTAAATTTAAAGGTATTTCACCCGTAATTAAAAAAGGCTGTTATATAGCCACTACTTTCGAAAATCTAAAGCTAATTTTGGACGAAAAGTGTGTGAAATTTTATATTTCCCATGCAACTTATGTTCTCCTAATACAAAAATCGGATTTTTAATGTTGATCGCAAAATTTAATTTGTGCCAGGCGCATCCACCAAAATTAAAAAAAAAAATCGCATTGCGCTGCTTTTGTTTTAAAGATGTTTTATGCTACTTTTTCATCGTTTCTATTACTATTCGAATATTTAATCGACTAATTAATAAAATACTATTAAAAACATTTATTTATTTAT